TCAGGTCAGATCACTATCCAAATTAAAAATACAAACTACTTCAAAAAAAAATTAAAAATCACACAAAGGAAAATTTCATTAGATGTGTTTAGATATGATTTTGTAAAAATCACTCAAATTAGACCAGATTTTGGAATGAATTTTTAAAACTAAATCAAACCAAATCAAACCTTGTATTTTAATATTTTTTTATCTTTCATATTAATATGATGCATTACATTCAGTGTTATCAAATATCCGTCATGGCGGCACTGGGCGGATATACATTGCGATTTTAGAGATCACCGCAATGATAAATATCAACCAATATTCAAATTTCTCTGCCATAAAACAGCCGGTATGATGGGATTTTAGTTCTCCGGTCCGCGATTGCCAACACTATTCACATTAATTTATTATTAGTTAGTTTTTCACAACAAAGACATGAAGTTATATAATTATAAAATTGTATATATATTCCTAAAAAGTTGGCATATGTATGTACGAGTACACAAACTAATCTTAATAACTTTAGGGACAAAGTTTGTATTAAAAACTTTCCTTTAACTGTTTAGTTCCAAATACACACTATATATTCAGACTAGGGGTGGACAACGGGTCGGGTTGAGCGGGTTCGAACCCTAATGAACAATCCGACCCAAACCACGGATGAGAAAACAGAGTCCATATCCGCCCATTTAACTACTGCAGATTAGACGGGTTGCGGATCAAACAGTTTACGAGTTTGCAGGTTGATCTGGGCGAGTTTAAGGTTTAAAAGCTATCTTTTTTAACAAAAAAAGTAAACAAACAAAAAACTAAAAGAAGAAGAAATTAGGATCTAAACTGCAGATCTATTTCATTAATCTTAGATCTATAAAACTTAAATATTAATCAAACAAACACAAAAACTTTAATCAAAGAATAAAAAAATATAAAAATTGATGCACTGCAAGAAGATAAAGACGATGAAAAAATGAAGAAGAATGAGGGAGAAAGTGATTTTCTTCATCTTCTTTGTGTGGTCTTGTAAAACAATGCTCTGACTTGACTTAAAGAGAAATATGAAATAATGTTGATTAGAATTTCAAAGAACAATTTATGTAAAATAAATAATTCTAATCTAAATGAGATTGTTTTATTTTCCTACTTTATAGCTACCTACTAATTTTTCGCTACTACTAATTATTATAGTAGTATTGATGTGAACATAAAGCTGCATCATAAAATATTTTAAGAACCTCGAGCAGTGGAGTTTCAGACATTAAATGTTTAATTAAATGAGTGTATATCCTACTCTAAGCAACTATTGAATCACTCACTGATATATGATAAATATATTGCCATTTGCATGTGCATTCATGGGCGGGTGCGGTTACCGCTGGGTTTAGATTTTGAATCCGAATCCGCCCATTTAAACCTGTATGAAACCGGTTTGACAACCTATTCCCCCGCACATCCGACCCGGCTCACCCATTCGAGTGAAAATAATTTCAGTTTTGGCGGATATTACCGGTTTGCGGGTTTTTGTCCACTCCTAATTCAGACTCTTTAGCTCTAAATTATTGAAATACTTGAGCTTCTTTCTTCCTTTTTAACATTAAGATGAACACTACCTCTCAAATTTTCTCCCTTTTTGTTGTTGCCATTTGGTTCATATCTCTAACAGTTTTTGGAGCTGCTACTATTCACCCCGACGGCGAAAGTATGATATGTATTTATACCATAGCTCTCAAATAATAAAGAGTTTTCTTTGACCCTTCCTTTCCAATCTTTTTATCTAAGCAATCATGTTACCTTCAATACATGTATTCCTGTCGACACCTTTGAGAAAAAGCGTGTTGTTTGTGTTGGCATCAAACACCTATGCCGACAATTATAATTACGTTTAAATTATTTATTTTTTTAAACTATTTTATGTGTTTGTATCAGAGTCATATTTAAGGCGTCCGTATTTTTTAATATATTCTTTTTGTCTAAAATTCCTATAAAATTTTGTATATATTTAATAACATGTTCATATAGTTTAAAAGATTTTTTAGTACTTCGCCGAAAGTTTCTGAGTTGTATATATATAGAGAAAGCTCTGGAAGATATAGGTAAATCACTTGGTAAGAAGGATCGTAGAGTTGCCGGTGACGATTTATGCCATGTTGTTTCCATGTAAGTCTATTTTCCTTAGAATTGACCATTTGATATTAGTACTCCTAATCATTTGATTTGGTATTTTCCATTCATTTAGGGTGTTATTGTAGTATTTACATTGATATTGAGATTGAGGTAAGAATTGACGTTGTATATGTGTACATAAGAGTGTGTATGAATAACCATTTAAATGAGTCATTCTATTTTTATGATTATGGTTTATAAACCAACTCATTTTTATGGTTTATTGTTTCAAACATGTTTAAAATCAATTTTAAATAGATTTTGATTTTAATCCAAATTATTTAATTAAATTTAAGTTTTATTTTTTTTTTAAATTGTATTAATTTTTAAGTTTAACTATTTAAATAATAAAAAATAACATTTTAAAAAACATTAAAAAAAATCTAAAAATAAAAAGTATTTTAAAAAAACTGAAAATAAAAAATTTTAAAATAAAAAATTTCAACAAATTATATGAACGTAAAATGGTTACTAATATGTTATAATACATATATTTGTATATTTCAAAATCTCTATCTATTAGTAGAGAAATCTATAATATTTATGATCGTTTTTCATAAAGCTTTAATGCTTTTTGAGATTTATAGATGAAAATTAGAGTAAAAAATTCAACAAATCAAGTTTTGTATATTTTCTTGTATATACCAAATCAAACTCGATGCACTAAGATTCATATAATTAATAGTTGAAAGTCCATATAATTAATTGCTAAAAGTCCATATAATTGTGAAACATTATTAGTACACCATTTTAGGTAGTTAGAGAATATGTAAACAATTTTTTTTTTTATTTTAAAAAATAAAATTTTGAATTTTTTTAAAAATATTTTTTTTTATGAAATTCAAAAAAATTAACTCTAAACTATTTCAAAATATAAAATTGGTTTATAACGTGTATATAATGAAACATGAAAAAAGACAAACATATCATTTTAATAAATAATGAAATTTGGATACTCAATAACTAAACCACATTATTATTATGAAAATCTGTTTATATTTGGATAACAAAATGGATAATCACATTTATATTTTAGCATTTGATTTGAATTTTTAAAAATAGAACACAAAAGTTAGATCGGTTAAAATATATTTATAGTCATCCCTTATCGTCAAAACTATGATTTGAAAGTAAAATCATATTTGTTAAAAGTAGTGTATTTTTACTATGTTCGGCAAATCAATATTATCTATTGCGGAAGAGCTTGTAGTAATTTTTTTCTCTAAAATCTATTGGCTAAGAAATATATTAGAATTGATTACTTTATTTTGCTCATTGTTTATGTTTAATTTTTTTTTTATGGTAAAATGCACCTTAAGAACTTTGAAAGGGCAAAATCTCTCCGGCACTCTTCCACCAAGACTGACCAGTTTGCGCTACTTTCAAACTATGTATGTAATTTCCAAACTTTACCTCAAAATCAAATTAACAAGATTGTTGAACTTTTTGTATATCTTCTATTATGAGATTTCGATCGAGAATTAAAAGGTTTATCGAATGTTTTACACTAGAGATGACAATTTGACTCATCTTCAATGAGCATTTGTAAAAATTATTCATAATAGATAAGGTAAAAATTCACAAAAATGAGTACGGACATGAGCTCGAGTAATTACCCACAAAAATAAGCGGATATAGGTGCGGGTATGAATGTCTTTGTACCCATCCCGCCCCATACTCGTACCATATATATTTATGTATTCTAATTTTAATTTATATTATTATATAAAAATGTATGATTGTCCATTTTAAAAAGTTTATCGATGCTAAATCATTACGTATATAATATGAGTGTTCGTTTATTTTATCAATTAATTTTTTGAAATTTTTTAAATATTTTTAAAATTTTAAAATAATATGATATTTTATAATTAATATATTTATTTTAAATAAGAATGCAAGTATGGGTACTTACATACCCATACCCATAGAATACACGGGTGTTAACTTTGTCGCCCAAGCGGGTATAGATTTAGATACGAGAATTTTTTCAAATTGCAAATATAAGAATGGGTACTATAGTATCATGGTCAAACCCTACCCATTGTCATCTCTACTCCACTAGACTAATTTATCATTTGTTGCTTCTGTTCCAAATTATAAGTCAATTTGTCAAAAAAAATTTATTTTAAATTATAAGTCACTTTATATTTTCAATAGAATATTAGTGACATTTTTTTCAATATACCTTCAAGTATTTATTATTATTTATTTATTCAATTTTATTATTGATTGATCGATATATTATTTTGATTCTTAATAAGATTTTGTAACTTAATAAGCTAATGATGACATGTTTCTTAATTATAACAGTGCTCTTCCAGAAAACCGATTAACGGGTTCAATACCAGCTGAGCTTGCAAAAATATCAATTATGTTAGAATTAATATACTTCATCTGAAGAAATAATAAATCAATTATATTAGAATTAATAAACTTCATCTGAAGAATTAATAAATCAATTATATTAGAATTAATAAATCAATTATATTAGAATTAATAAATCAATTATATTAGAATTAATAAGCTTCGTCTGAAGAATTAATAAATCAATTATATTAGAATTAATAAACTTCATCTGAAAAATTAATAAATTAATTATATTAGAATTAATAAATCAATTATATTCACTTTATTAATTCATCTTTATTCATCTTTAAACTTCATCTGAAGAATTAATAAATCAATTATATTTTTTATATAGTGAATAATCCTAATTAAATCCCTAAAAGAAAAGCATTTCCACTTTAAACTTCACAAGCTTTCCTCCATAAACACTTTCATCACACAAACAAACCCTCGCCTCTCACTAGTCACAATAAAACCCTCCTAATCCAAACAACAACAAGACGATGTCGTTCCTCCGAAAAACCCAATTCAACATTCCCCTTAATTCCTTCTCTATCCTCCGCCGTTTCGCAACCCTAACCCCAAAACCCTTCCCCGACAAACCCACCGCCACCTACTACGACAACCTCGCCGCCGACGCAGCCAACGCCGGTGACTTCGATTCCCTCCACTCCCTCCTCAACAAACGCATCCAAGACGGTTTCTTCAACACCAAACGAACCTTCAGCTTCATCACCAACACCAATTTCACCCCTTCCTTCCTCAACGACCTCATAACAACAATTTCCCGTCTCAACCCCGGCTTCTCGCGACGAAACGCATTTGATTCACTCATCACGCGCCTCTGCAAGCTAAGCCGCGCAGACGAGGCGCTCTACGTCGTCGAATCCATCTCGCGCGTGGATAGCTCCGAGCTTAAAGCCTGCACTTTCCACCCAATCATAAGTTTCTTTACCAAAGAGAAATCACTCGACCACGCGCATCGCGTGGTTGAGACCATGAACCGTCTTGGAGTTCCACCGGACTTAACGGTTCACAATTATTTTCTCACGACGTATTGTTTCACCGGAGACACTGAAGCGGCAGTAGGGGTTTTAAAAACGATCGAAAATGAGGGTTTAAACGCTGACACGCGCACATTCGACGCGCTTGTATTAGGCGCGTGTAAAAAGGGAAATGTGGATGGTGCTATGGTATTGGTGAGGAGGATGTTCGATGATGGAGTGCCGATGTTATATTCGACGCATATGTTTATAATTGAAGCGATGTTAAAGATGAATTGTTGGGAACAAGCATTATGTTATGTGAGGTGTTTTAGTGGGAAAGATAAGGCTTTGGATAATGAGCTTTTTGGGTGTTTGGGTGGGAAACTTGTGGAGTTGAATAAGTTGAAAGAGGCTATGGTGGTCTTTGGTGAAATGGATGAAAGGGGTTTGAAAATGTGTGGGAAAATGAGAGAGTTTTATGAAATGAATGTTGGAGTTGGAAATGATGATGTAAGTTGTAAAGTGGAATTGTAGGATGAAAGAGTTGTAAAATATCTACTCTCCAAATTTTGTGAGTTTCTCATTAGTCACCTTATTGGAAAAAAAAACCATTTATAAGTACATAAACATGATTGTGTTCAATTCAAAGAGTTACAGTAGAACTTAACTTTAACTTGAAATGGATAGGGAGTTATGGAACAATCAGTTGTCAGGAAATCTTCCTCATGAACTTGGGAGTCTAACCCAAATTCAAACACTGTAAGCACTTTATCTCCCCCACCCCCTAGTTGATGTTCTCCCTGAAAATGTTTAAAATCCACTTTGATTTCCATGGTTTAGAATCATAATTTACTGTTTTGGGGAACTACCCGTGACATATAGGCGAGTTTCCTCTAACAATTTTATTGGAGAGTGACATATAGGCGAGTTTCCTCTAACAATTTTATTGGAGAACTACCCGTGACATTGGCCAAGCTCACTAAACTGCAAGATTTGTAAGCTTCAAATTTTTATGGTGATGATGATGACTGACGACTAAATTAGAAAGTAGTTTTTAGGATGCTTCAAATTTTTATGCCCTCTCTCAATGCAGCCGAATTGAGGAGAATCAATTCTCTGGAAAGATACCTGATTATATTCAGAACTGGAAAAGTATACAAAAACTGTATGCACTCTCCTTTTTTTATTTTAATTTTTTCTCAAATATAATAGTTTTGGTATTGCTTGACATTAAACAGAATTATCAACGGTTACTTTGCTCTTGATAGTGCGATTCAAGGAAGTGGATTAAGTGGGCCGGTTCCTTCTGGAATTTCACTTTTTACAAACTTAATTAGCTTGTATGTATGAAATTTTTATACGGATAAAACAAGGGTTCAAATTTAACTTTCATTTTAATTGTCTTTACTTAGCTTTGATTCAAATGTGATATTCAGGAGAATTAGTGATTTGAATGGATCTGAGTGTGCACCTTTGCCACAGCTTAATAATCTGACATCGCTAGAAAAAACTGAGTTGATTTCTCTGCCTCTTTCAGAAAGAACATATTGTTGTCTGTCTTATTGTTTCACAGGATTCTAAGTAATTGCAACATTAACGGAACGCTACCTAAATATCTTTGGAATATGACAACATTAACCCATTTGTAATTGTATACTTGCTGCATTTTGTTTGACTATAGCCAACCATTAATGTTTCTTTTGATAAGTTTAGCAAATTCTATAACCTTCTATATTTTTGTGTTTCGTAATTAGTGTTTTCATATGACAAATTTTCTATAGCTTTTTAATTTGTTCTCAATATGATATCTATTTCAGAGACCTCAGCTTTAACAACTTAAGTGGAACAATTCCATTGTCCTATGCTGACCTAAACTTGACATACATGTATGGAACAATATTTTTTGGCATATATTTTTAATTACATATCTGTTGGCTTCTTTACTCCCACAACTCTGGTTTCAACTTTCAGTCTGAAGTAGGATAGCTGAACAATCCTACTTAGATTCATGAAGATTAATATCTGAATATTCTTTTATGGTAGAATTTTAACTGGAAACCTTCTCTCTGGATCGATGCCTTCTTGGTCAACAAAAGTCAACGTGTGAGTTTTCTTTCTAGTACTACTTGTATGGTTCCTTGGGTTCAAGCTTTTTCAGAAGTACTAATTCTTCTATATTGTATCAAAAAGAAAAGTAATAGGAAAATGAACATCATGGAAATCAGTCTGTTGAAAATTCATGCTTGCTGTAGCGAATAGGATAAACACTAGGAATTGTGACCTTTTCTTTTTATAATCTGTAGCAAAACAAGAACTAACATATTAATATGAGTTTATATGCCACTTCATGAATAAAGTATTAGGTAATTAAATGTAGTACTTTACTGTTACTATAAGTTTTGTAGAGCAACACACTTGGCCAATGAAAACAGGATTTCACTTGGTACTATGTAGCAAGAATAAGGGAAATGAACCATTACTCTATCCTGTAGTGAATAAATTAGTAGGCTAAAAATGTTCCTTTCCATTACTCTATCCTGTAGTGAATAAATTAGTAGGCATGAAGTAATATCATATATTTAATATCCTGTAACGAACTAATTGATGAATAGGAAACGAAATCTTTTATTTTTATTATGCTGAAATGATTAGAATGTGAAGTAGTATTACATATATTAATGTTACTGTAGCGTACAACCAAGTAATAGGAAATGAATAAAGTACCCCTTCCTAATTGATGAGTTGCAGCTCCACCAGCCACTTTTGCTTTTATTTGAGGCATTCAATTAATAAATACCGTGATATATATCACTGTAGCGGAATCAATATAATAAGTAATTGAATTGAGACAT